AGCAGACTCCCCGCTGAGCAGGGAGCCCAACATGGGGCTCAATCCCAGGACCCCAAGATCAGGACCTAAGCCGAAAGCAGACACTTAATGACTGAGCCACCAAGGCACCCTGAAATAATTTTAGATTTACAGAAAAACTGCAAAGATAGTATCTTTGCATCACTTATTTTCCTGAAAATCCATCACTTAGGATTTTCCTGATGCTAACATCTTATAAAACTAAAAAATTAACATAAAATAAAACTAAAAAAACAAACATTAGTACAATATTATTAAACTATAGACTTTATTCTGATTTCACCAGTTTTTCCACTGATGTTCTTTTTCTATTCCAGGACCAATTCAGGAAGCCACACTGCATTTAGACAGATTTTTATTTTTTAAGTGCTCAGTTAATTCTTTGTCTTTCTCACTTAACACTCTGAATTTGGAGAATCAACTAAACTACTTATCTCTTTATGTTGTGTTTTCCAGCTGAAAAACAGAATCTGCTTGTATTAACACGATAAAGTAATACCATCTTAATGACCTTAAGGATACCAGAATAATCCTTAAGAAAACTACAGAAGCAAAAGAGACTTAAGTATTTTGTTTAGAGTATGTATTCACTAAATGAAAGAACAAATACTTGGAAAATGTATTATTCCTTAAGTAAATGACAGGTAAATATAATAGGAGTTAACATTTATTGGGGTGCTCACTCATCTTTATTGCATGTCAAACATGATAAATTGGCTTCAAAGAGGTTAAGTAACCTGCCAAAGATCACACAATTCCACAGTGGTGAAACATGAATCAAGATGCATCATCGAAGGTGTTTAAATCCATGCATGTCTTGCATCATCTATTAAAATTACTTCAGTCACACAGATGACATCTCACTATGCAATTAAATATATAACTGAATTGCATCCAACATGGCTTCTCAATTTTTGGAGGCTGAACTAATGAACAAAAAAATCTTACATGTCTTTTTATTTTAAAAAAATCAATCCGATTCTAAAGTTACAGAACAAGAGCTCTGAGCTTTTCCTTAGTCAACAAACTTTTTCGGCATAGGCCAAGTAGTAAATATTTTAGGCTTGTGGAACATATAATCTCTACCGCAACCACTTAGCTCTGTTGTTATAGTGCAAAAGCAGTCACAGATAATACATTAACAAATGAGTATGGCTGTGTTCCAATAAAACTTTACTTGCAAAAACAGGTGGTGGCCTTGATTTCACTTAGAGGCTGTAATTTGCTGACCTATCTTAGGGCACTGATAGCATGGAATGAGTTTTGAATACTAAGTGCCATGGCTGAGAGTAAAAAATGTATCCTTAAGTTTACCTGCAATGACTCTTTATATTATTTTTAAAAATATCTCATGGAACAAGTTGGCCGATACACCTGGCCTCAGAAAATTACTCTTAGCATTGAAAAGTAGGTAGTATAGTAGAATCATATACGCAAAGGATACAAAAGTAATTTCTAAAGAAGAAACACCAAATGCTAATAAACATTTAAAAAAACTAACACTCTGATTTCTAGACTGTGAAAAAAGACATCATCAAATGATTAAGATTGATGAAGACTGTGCATTGGTACAGCCAATCTGCAGAGCAACTTAGAAATGACAAACAAAAGCCTTGAAAATATTCATAATTAATACAAATTGCTCTTAAATCTATGAAAAGATTCTCAGCTTAACATATAAGATATAAAATTAAAATCATGATGAAATACCATTCTCACCTACCAGAATGGCAAAACTCCCCAAATTTGGGGAGTACAAAATAATACTATTCCTACAGAAGGCAATTTAATAGTATCTATCAAAATTCAAATACATTTACTCTTTGGCCCAGAAATTCAAAGTCTAAAAATTTATCCTGTGCCTATACCTGTACCCCATGCCTATGCCTATATGAATTGAGGTGTATCAAACTTACTCACTATATAACTGTTTGTAACAGTACAAGATCAGAAATGACACAAATGTTCATGTATACAAATACTACATAGCTGTATGAATAAAAAAAAGAAAAAGATCTATATATATTAATACAGAAAGATCTCCAGGAAATAATTTAAGTATAAAAAAGCAGGAACATAGGTAGTGCAGGTAAACTAAATGATACATTCTCTACTCTCAGCCATGGTACTTAGTATTGACATTTACTTATTTATTTTTAAGATATTATTTATTTATTTGAGAGAGAGAGAACACAAGAGGGGGGAGGGTCAGAGGGAGAAGCAGACTCCCTGCTGAGCGGGGAGCCCAATGTCAGACTCGATTCTGGGACTCCAGGATCATGACCTGAGCCAAAGGCAGTTGCTTAACCAACTGAGCCACCCAGGAGCCCCATGGTACTTAGTACTCAAAACTCATTCCATGCTTTCCTCTTTTATAAGAAAGAGGAGAAAATAAGTATATAATTGCTTTTGCAGATATGTGATTAAGGAAACCCTAAAAGATATTCAAGTAATCCAAATGGTTACCTGTAGGAAGTAGATGGGGACCAAGACAGTAAAACCTCTCCATGTATGTATATGTACGTGTGTGTGGTTTTGATATATGAACCATATAAATGTATTAGCATTTTAAAGAATAATACACATTTATAAATAATACATTTTAAAGAATAATATTACTTTAGGATCATTGTAAGGATTAAATAAATTTGTAAATGTACCTAATATAAAATGTTTAGCACAGTGCTTTACATACAGTGGAGCTGCTAGTCTCCAAATGTCATCCAAACAGTATGATAACATATACAATAAAAGAATACCAAATATTTAGACTCAATATTTTCATCTCTAGAAATACACTATCATAAAAAAATCTAAAAATTGGACAGACTTATATATAAATAATAAACTGTTGAAACAAACCAGAAACACAAAAACAGAGAAATATTCAATAGACTATAGTACATCTATATTCATAAAGCATTTCTAATAACAGAAAATGCTCAAAATATAGAACTTTATAATCTCAAATGGGGGAGCGGTCTGGGGAGTGGAGGGCAGAGAGATATTTACAAAAATAAAAGACTTAGAGAAGGTATAGCAAATAAGCTTTTATAAAAGAACTGTTGATAATTTTTTTTCTCTTTTAATTCTCTTCCATATTTTTCAAATTTTCTTTTAAGCATGTAGTCCTGAAAAAGGAGAGAAAGGAAAAGAGAAAAAATGGATTTGGGGATCACAGAAGTACGAGTTAAAAACTCACATTATTATTTGCACTTTTAAAATAGGCTCCACACCCAGCTTGAACTCACGACCCTGAGATCAAGACCTAATCAAGAGTCAGATGCTTGGGGCGCCTGGGTGGCTCAGTCATTAAGCAAGTGACTCTTGATTTCAGCTTAGGTCCTGATCTCAGGGTCCTGAGATCAAGCTCTGCGTGGGGCTCAGTGTGGAGTCTGCTTGTCCCTCTCCCTCCCTCTGCTTGCACACTCTTTCTCTCTCAAATAAATAAAATAAAATAAGAATCTGATGCTTAACCAACTGAGCCACCCAGGTACCCCTATTATTTGCCCTTTTAGACAAGTCGATGAAGCTCTTGAAGCCTCCAGATCTGTAAGATGGAGATGATTTCCAAATTCCAGGGTTACTTAGTGGATTACAGACATTTTATGTATAAAGGACATAAATAATGTCTTAAATATAGTGACCACTAGGTAGTAATTACTATTCTCATACCTCTTAACTGTGCAACATCCTTTCCTATACACATGTAAAATTACACTATATTTCACCCATCTGAGATACTATTCATTTTAATATGTAAGCAAGTTTTACAAATATTGAAATGTCAAAAATGATCATCTTGGATTTGATGATATTTGGTATAACTTTAGTGAACTAAATGCCACTTTCCATATGTACCTTTTTCTTTAGTACAATGAAGCACAAATTGCATTAGAAGCAAATATTAAAAATAAAGGGACTGCTCCCATGGAAGATATACAAATGGATAATAAGTGCATGAAGAGATGCTCAACATCACTAATCACTACGGAAATGCAAATCAAAACCACAATGAAATACCAACTCATACCCATTAGGGTGGCTACTATCAAAAAGCCAGAAAATAACAGGTGTTGGTGAGAATGTGGAGAAACTGGAACCCTTGTCCACTGCTGGTAGAAATAAAAAGTGAATGTGGAGCCATTATGGAAAACAATATGCCAGTTCCTCAACAAATTAAACATAGAATCACCGTATGATCCAGCAATTTCACTTCTAGGTATATATCCAAAAGAACTGAAAGCAGGGACTTGAATAGATATTCATACAATTATGTTTATAGCACCATTATTCACAAGAGCCAAAAGATGGAAGTAACCCAAATGACCAGCAGTGGATGAATGGATAAACCAAATGTGGTTTATGTCCATAAAATCAAATGTTATTCAACCTGGGAAAAGAAGGAAATTCTGACATGCTACAAAATGGATGAAACTTGAGGACATTATGCTAAGTAAAATAAGCCAGTCCCCCAAAGACAAATATTACATAATTTCATTTATGAGGTACCAGGCTCCCTGCTCAGTGGGGAGTCTGCTTCTCCCTCTCCCTCTAACCCTCCCCCCGGCTCGTGCTCTCGTTTGCTCTCTCTCAAATGAATAAATAAAAAATCTCTTTAAAAAAAAGGACTATTTTTTCTACTTTAATTTAATTTATTTATTTAAGTAAACTCTACACGCAACATGGTGCTCGAACTCATGACCCCAAGATCAAGAGTCACTTGCTCTTCCAACTGAGCCAGCCAGGCACCCCAGAACTATTTTTTTAAAGTAATACAATCTCCTTTAAAAAGTTCTTAATATGATAACAACAAGAAACCATGAAATAAAAACCAAGTTAAGTATTAAACTACCTTAATAAACATTTTGACTGAACCATTTAAAACCTCAATTGAAATTTAAATACTGTAAACAAAATACTATGCTCTGAGCAATAAACTTATTATTCAACTTTATGTTTCTTTCTTTTTTTTTTTTTACCTGGGAGAGAGAATAGTACCAAGACAGAGGAAGATCAAACACTCTTAGTACTGCTGTCTTCAAGGAAAACTGTGATTCGCTTACTGTTTCTTCTGACATGACTCCTCTTCTAATCTTCATTAAATGAAACATAAAAACATATGAGCCACTAAATGAAAGATACAAATTGAATATTTAACTCTATCAGTTTTTTTTGCAGTTAATTATTCATGATATACTTCCCTGAAGAAAATCATGAGCCAAATTTATCTGAGCTAAAAGTTTATTTATTAATCACCAAAGGACCCAAAAAGAAAATGAGTTAGATTTGAACTAAGAGTTCAGGTAACACATTTTCCTTAGAAAATTTCAGGTTCTAGATTCTCTTTTTTCTGGTTAAACATTTCGGCTTTTAAACAGTAATTTAAAACTGATTTCTTCTCACCTATTTCCTACAAGGGAATCTGATTAGAACCAGGACCCTTGGGGCTAGAAAGTAAACTCAGTTCACTGAACTTCGGAACTCAGGGACTTATTCTTCTACTAGCCCATTTTAAAGATCTTCAAAGAAATGCCACACATATGCTATGAAATTTTAATATTGTTTTAATACCTATTTCTATTGAAACCAAAGAAAGAGAAGTCAGATGTCTACAGAGAAAGCAGCTATCTCTCAGAAAGGCCCTTAAAGGTAGCAGAACCTTCATAGAAACATGATGGTTCAGGCTCTGGGTCCATGCTTTTCAAAGCCAGAAACTCAATTTTATCTTTGTATCTAGCTGGACATACACTAAACAAATTCACATAGTATTGATGTATAAATTAGCTTACAAATTTATTCATTTATAATAAGGAAATATACTATCCAGCAAAAGAATACTTATACATGTCATCAAAACATACCCTCTCTAAAATAAAAAACTGTAAGGAGCTTAATTTAAAAAAAAAAGTTAAAAAGGCTGCCTGGTGAGTACAAAATTAATGGATCCTGAGGAATATTTTATCTAGGCCAATTAAAAGCCTGAGACAGGTCTCTGGTACACAAGAGAGTAGGCTTCTCCAGTAACCAGAATGTTTACATCTGCCAAATCTAGTATTTCTTTTCCTTGAATAGGACCACATAAACATAACTAAAGAGAAAATAAAAATCATTAGCAATCTCTCTATAAAAAGCTTATTGGCTAGCTATACTTTAAGTCCTTTATTTCTGCGTATCTCTCTCCTCTTTTTGTAGACTCCAACAAACTACCCTTTTGTTAATATCTTTTCTTCACACAAGTATCAAAACCACTGATTAAGCAGTAGTTCCCTTTCAAACCAAACACAGTAATACTTCTTAAGGTGGGTTACTGCTACTGACACTAACCTTATTCCCTACTAGTGACACTCACAGAGTATAAATTTAATCCCCCCCCCATATTCTAATTACAATGTTCAGGCTCAGTATAATTCTAATTGAAGTACATTTATTCCAACCAACAAACTTTGACATAAACATATTACTGAGAAAACAAAGGAATCCATGAAGAAACAATTAAACAAGAGAAAAATGGTCCTCTGGGGAATGAGACTAGGGGTGTAAGGGAGGTTGGGCAAGGAATCACTCCTTTTCATAAGTCTTCTCAAATATTTAATTTTTTAAGCACCTACATTTGTCACTTTCTTTTAAATGTTACACTAAAAAAAAAAAAAAAAAAAAAAGCACACTTATCCTGTCCGCCCCCAAAACTGACAACTGCTTGAGAAACATTTTTAGTAGTTAAATAGATTCTGGATCATTAAGCCATCTATGCTACATTTAAAAAAAAAAAATACTGAGTAATTCACTCAAAGTGACTTTCTCCATAATAGAGGGTTCGAATTTTTTAAGCAGAGGAGAAAGAAAATAAAGCAAACATTTCAATTTAAGCTGCCGGGGTTTTCTTAAAAGAGTTCTGACAAATCTCCTTTTTTGCATTCTAACTACCTCATTCCCTTTAACTTAAAATCACTGAGGGAATGATTCTAAACTTAACAATTGAATAATGTAAAAAAAAAAAAACCAAACTAATCATTTCATTTGCTTTCATAAGTATTAAGATGAACACCAAGGCAGTTTAATTATTCAAATTTGTAGAGAGACTAAAACATCACCAAAAATACCGTATTATGTAATATTACTCGCTTCTCTCCAGCTAACCACTGCGGAGCTAAAAATGTGTGAGTTTGTTTCTTAAACAACCTAAAATTCTATTCTACAGCTTGGACTTTATAATTTCAGCAAAAATGAAAGTCTGAAATACCCTAAAAAAATTTGACGTGAAGCCTAAACCCATACAACAGAACTCAGAAAAACACAGCAAAAATGCTTTGTTGCAATCATGAAAGAACAGTAATAATGAAAGTCTGGGCAAGAGCAAGATCTTCTGGAGTCCTCCCTCCAGAATATAAATGTTGAGCAACTTTATTTACAGAAGGGTCCCAACGCCACAATCCTCCCAATGCTGCATTATTCTCTGAAAGCACCTGCAAAGAAAGCGTAATCTTCCTCCATTCAAAAACCACTCCCTGCTCAAACCACTGGCATTCAAACAGAAACATGGACCAACCAGCGGCACCCACCTCCAACAAGACCCCCACCCCCGACCCCCACAGCAGTCTCCTCAGCGGTCTCCCTTCTTTACCAAGGGACCAGAAAAGGGGCCTCCCGCAGGATCGCCCGCCCAGGCCCTCAGTCAGACTCGGAGCGGTCGGGAGCCCACCCTGATTCAGGGCCTCCCCCTGGCGTTGGGACTTCCCTGGCTTTCTGTTCCTTCACCCGCACTGGGAATCTTGAGGGCCAAGGCCGGGACCCTAGCCCGCGCCCCACCACGCCCACCACGCCCAGTCCCGCTGCCTCGGCCCCGCCAGCGTAGCGACCCCACCCGCCCCAACGCCCGCCCCCTCCACTTTTGTACCTGGTGCTCCAGGCCAGGTGCGGCTGGCCCAAGCCTGCTTCCCCGCCGCAGCCCCGCGCTGAGCAGCCGCCTGGCCGCGGGGGCGGAGTCCTTCCGGGGTCAGCGTTGGGAAGGTGGAAAGAATGTTGGCGGGGGCCTTCTAGCCTTTCTGCGTGAGGGGCTACGTGTGAAGCCGCTCCCGCCATTTTTGTTTAGGGCAGGAGATTTCTGCCTTGCTAAAAGGATCTAAGAACCACTTAAGAAAAACTGCGTTTTTACAATGCTGTTAACTGGTATCGTATTCCGTGGCCTTTTGAGGGATCTAGGACTATTCGGTGAATCTGGTGAAAACTAGGGGACATTACCCCAGAAAAATACTCATAGACACGCTCATACATTGTTTAAGAGAAAAAATATATGCAGTATATACAAGTTCAGACGCCCCAAAGCAATACATGGATCCCAGATTAAGAACTTCTACTATATATCCGCAGCACTTAAACGAATGAATGTTAAGAGGCATTCTAACCCTGTATGATGAAGTTATTGATTTCAATTACTCTTTTTCTCCATGTTTCCCACTGAATTAGAATATGTAAATATGGACAACTATGAGTTGTTAGGCAGAGTATGTATACCCTGTTCTGAGGTTCTAACACACAGTAAACAAATGGGGGATCGGGTGGTGGGGGAATGGAGAACGACAACAAAAAAAGATGCTGTTTCCATGTGCAGTCTTCAGCCAAAACATTCCACCAAAACTGCGGATTTAAAACTTCCAATTGCTGAGCATATTTGTGGTGAAATGTCAAAACAATTTTGTAAGGATAACTAAAACGTGACAGCAGTTTTTACTATTCCTACCTAAGAAATGAATAATCATTTCTGTTAGTTTTCAAAATTCCTGTTTAGTCAAATGGGAAATAGGGAGGGAGAATGACAATGCTATGTGTGACATTGTTAGATAAATAATAACTGAAAGTGTGCAGAAATCTATGTGAAAATATTTTGCACTTATAAAGTAAATGGTACTGTTGACATCTGAAGAACCTGGAATTTGTGAGTCTGTTTTTTGTTTATTCTCCCAATCTCCTTTCTGCTGCCTCCTCCCTACTTCCCACAACTTCCAAACCCTCAGCATAACGGGAAGAGCGGTAGTAATTATAACTACCACTTAAAGCAACTTTACTGAGAACATGATCTCTTTTAATTCCACAATAAATGTTATGAAAGAGATATTAGTATATACCCATTATGGATTTTGCTCTTTAACAAGGGAACAAGAAATACCATATTTTCATTACTTTTCTAAATCAATGTAATTTGCTCCAAGTCTCCCTTCTCCTGGGTTGGCAGAGTATTTAATTGCTAAAATTAATGAAGGGAAACCTCACTAAAGTGGACTCAAGATGATATAAGGACAAGCTGGAAGGGAAAGCTTTACCACTCAATGTCAGTTAGGGAAAGAGTCATCAGTCACAGGCCCCAACAGGAAAGATACACATTGCATCTTCCACAAGAAATCGACTACGGCAACCCAGCCAGGGAGGAACCATCATCATCCCAAACCCTTGCTTTTCTCCAAGGGACTTTTGCTCAAAACAACCCTTCCCATCTTTCTCCTCTGTAAGATAATGTTCTTCTCCTGTGTTTGTTAGACTTGCCTATGGCTTTGCCATACCTTGCTTGTCTCAAATTGCAATTCTCTGTTATCCCCGAATAAGCCTATTTTTGCTGGTAAAATAATTGACTATTTTATTCTTAAGGTTAATACACAATCTTAGTCGTTAGTAGGTACATCAGTTAGGATGCTGTTAGCTACCAGAAAAAAGAAAACCAAATAGTGGCTTAAACCATAGGACAGGGTATTCCATATGGATGCAGCATCAGGGAGGCACAGTCTCTTATTTGGATATGATACCTTTTTTTTTTAAGATTTTATTTTTTTTTAAATAATCTCTACCCCCAACCAACATGGAACTTGAACTCACAACCTGGAGATCAAGAGTTCTGTGCTTTACTGGCTGATGCAGCCAGGTACCCCTGGATATGATGTCTTATGTTATCCTGGCCCAGGAGAAAAATGGGGCTTGGTTAAATCTAAAGGTGTGTCCCTCACCCTAAGTGAGGGGAATCATTAGTCAACCATCAATGAATTTGTAAGATCCAATATGTATAGTACCAAAATAATGCTGTAGTTTTAGACTGCCCACGTTCAAGTCCTTTCTCCACCTCTTACTAGGTGTGTGGTCTTAGGCCAAGTACTTAACATCTTGATGCCTCAGTTTCCTCATTGGGGTATTAGGAAGATAAATGTAATAGTTCTTGTAAAGCACTAAGATTCTTATGAAAATTTTTAACTTGAGAAGTAACTCCATGGGATCTGAGGATAAAACTTTATTGCCATATAATTGATTTCCTTTGTAATCCTATACATTTTGTTTTATGCATGTAGAAATGTTATGTGAGAAGGGGGTCCCTAATTTACCATTTACCAGAATGTCAAAGGGGTGCAAGATACCAAAAAATGGTTAAGAACTTAGAACAATCCTGGCACAAATTTCTAAGATGTAGGTCATATTCAGTGGGACTTTTCCATCCCCTTTGGCAGAAGCTCCAAAGCTAAAAGAAATACCTGCTGGGAGGTGCCTGGGTGGCTCAGTCAGTTGAGTGTCTGCCCTTGGCTTGGGTCATGATCCCAGAATCCTGGGATCAAGTCCTGTGTCAGACTCCCTGCTCCTCGGGGGGCCTGCTTCTCCCTCTGCCTCTCTCTCTCTGTCTCTGTCTCTCATGAATAAATAAATAAAATCTAAAAAAAAAAAAGAAGAAAGAAAGGAAGGAAGGAAGGAAGAAAGAAAAAAAGAAAGAAAGAAAGAAAGAAATAGATACCAGGCGCTTGGGTGGCTCAGTCGGTTAAGCATCTGCCCTTGGCTCAGGTCATGATCTCAGGGTCCTGTGATCCAGCCTGCATCTGTCTCCCTGCTCAGTGGGGAATCTGCTTCTCCCTCTCCCTTTGCCTCTCCCCCCCCACTCATGCTCTCTCTCGTTCTCACCTCCTCTCTCTCTTAAATAAATAAATAAATAAATAAATCTTAAAAAAAGAGAGAGAGAAATAGATGCCAAGTGTCTAAATATTCTTAAAAAGGATGCTAGACCAACCACACAGGGCATGCTAGGAATAACATGAAGCCCCTTTAGCAATCCTCAGTCCTCACATACCTCCAGGGAATGATAAAGCAGAATTGATCAAAGAAGACTGAAAAATGAAAATGCCTAAGAGACAGTTTTCTGGAGTGCTGTGTGTTTTCCTCCCCCTTCCCCAAAAGTGAGGAGAGGAGAGTGCATATCCCATCTTACCCCCACCTCAAGCCAAGTGAAAGAACTTACAGAAACTCAGACAATTTTTTTAAAGATTTTATTTATTTATTTGACAGAGAGAGAAAGAGAGAACTCAAGTAGGCAAAGCTGCAGGCAGAGGGAGAGGGAGAAGCAGAACCCTTGCTGAGCAGAGAGCCCAATGCAGGGCTCGATCCCAGGACCCTGGGATCATGACCTGAGCCAAAGGCAGATGCTTAACTGACTGAGCCACCCACGGGCTGCAAACTCAGACCATTTGACTCTGTGCTCTGTAGTTTATGTCGCCTGAAAAGTACAAAGATAATAGACTATTCAAAGAGGTCTTTGATGGCAGAGCAGAGAGAGGGCTGCAGTGGAAGTGGCCTGTATTACAATTTTGCAAGAAAAATTATCCTGGGGGCCATGTGAATGCCACAGAAGATAGCCAGACTTGAATGACCTTAAGAGGTTGTATCTTTGAACCATGAGCTAAGTGGACTATCCAAATGGTTAACCACAAATTTTTGTCCCCAGTGGTAAGAAATAATACAGTAAGAGGTCCCAGCAAGAGGGGCACTCATTGAGGAACCCACAAAAGGGCCCTATAAGAAAAAAGCCAGCATTTAGGAATGAGTCACATGCAGAAGGCAACCAAGTCAGATTTAATGCACTGATTGTGTATATCTGACATTTCATTTAAGGTATTTAGGATCACTGCTCACATTAATATATGGCCAATGAACTTCGTGAACTATCGGTGGAAACAGCAGTTATCAAGTAGAAACATTAAGCCTGACCAAAGTCTAGCACTTTAGTTAAAAACAATTAAATAGATTAATTATTTTAGGTAATTCTTATATGCAATTACTTTTTCCATTAACTGCTAAAACCTGGCAGAGTCTCCAGAAATAACTTGGGGCCTCCTTTTAAATCTATACAATGCCAAAGGGTGTATACTGGCCATTATATCTTTGTTCTCATTAACCACCCGTAAGTGTTTGGCAGACTCCTCCACAAGTCAGAACTAAGCTGACCAAGGCATTTAGAACTCAGACTATGGTTCCAGATGCTAATTTAGAGTGTGACTGTATACATCCAAATATTACAGATTCAGTTCCTCAAAATATTAAACATAGTGATACCATGTGACCCAGCAATTCCATCCCTAGATAATACACAAAAGAAAGTAAAGATATATCCACATAAAACTTGTACATGAATGTGCATAACAACATTATTCATAATACCTAAAAAGTGAAAACAACCCAAATGTCCAACAACTAATGAGTGGATAAATAACAAGTAGTATATCCATATAATGGAATATTATTTGATCATAAAAAAGGAATGGTGTACATGCTACAATGTGAAAACATGCTAAGAAGCCCATCATAAAAGATATATATATGTATGTATAATATAGTTCTCTTTATATGAAATGTCCAATATAGGGAAATCTATAGAGACTGAAAGTAGGTTAGTGGTTGCCTAGAGCTGGAAGGGTTGTGGGAAAATGGAGATTGCTGTTAAAGGGTATGGGACTGCTTTTGTTTTGTTTTGTTTTTTTAAAGATTTTATTTATTTATTTATTTGAGAGCGGGGAGTTGGGAGGAGCAGAGACAGAGGGACAAGCAGAGTCTACACAGAGCACAGAGCTCAACTCAAGGCTCAATCTCGTGACCCCGAGCTGAAATCTAGAGTGCAGCACTTAACCGACTGAGCCACCCAGGTGCCCCTGGCAGTGAAGTATTCTAAACTTAGATTGTG